AAAAGGAGGAGTAGGAGTAGGATATCTGAAGGAGGAGGAGGCACCATTGCAGTTCCAATGTTCCATGTTTCGATCCAAAAAAAAAAAAAAAAAAAAAAAAAAAAACGAGTGCTGACTCCATGTTCCATGTTTCGACCCAATAAATTACCGTTGGTTTATTGGGACCAGGGTCCACCCTTTGCTTTGTATGCGGTTAAGTATCAGTAGTAGGAATTACCGTGTCCACGAAGTAATCGAGCATAAGTTCAGGGTCTTATCATTAAGGGGCTCGAACCTCGGATCTACGGGAGGATAGTTGGTTTGGTTTTGTTATTTCGGGCGAGTACCGGTACCATCCGTGGATATGTGCCATGATTGGTACCTTGCATGTTTCCCGGATGCCTGGTGGCACCGGCCCTTACCTTTTGGATTTTGAATCGTACCGGGACGTGAACGTAGGGCGGGTTCGGCCCAGTAGTGCAGTGACAAGTAGGGAATTGTGATCGATGGTCAACATAAATGGTGAAAAGCAGAGTTACGAAGTCCCTTTTGCCTTGTGGCGGTCGGCACAACCGAGGGTGGGGGAGGTAGCGATGGAGGGTGACGAGGGATGGTAGTGTGGGGGGTGGTGCCGTCAACACTCATCTACATCGTGAGCTGCACGCACAACCATTACATGGGTCTTTATTTCAAATCGGATGTTGATTGTTGATTCATACAGCGTTTGGCTCGTCCAAGTGTGCTGTCAAGTTGTCAACTGCGTGTCAGTCTGGTCCTTGTGCCTGCATCTGCAGCTATTTGCTATCCTACTACCTAGGGTCGTAACCATCTAGGCGATTGTACCTAGCGGAGTGGCTAAGTCTATCAGGTGACATCCTTGAAGATTCGGGAGAATTGGAAGTGTACTGACGGTGACTCAGTGTCGTGAAGATGAGCGAGGGAGGAGACATGAGAAGAAGTAACGATGGCGGGGGTGGATTGCCACCGGACGGGCGGAAGTGCTATAAGTGCGGTGAGAGCGGACATTTTATACGTGACTGTGCGAAATTTGGGCGCGCAAAAGCGCAAGGGAAGACGTTTGCTCCATCTGCCTTACCGACCGGACAAACCAGAACTGGGCGTTCGTTGTCTAGCGGTGATAGTCAGTTGGCTCGTCGTAGTCGGTCGGCGGAAAGTGGAGGCGAACGGAGCGATAGTACAGATGATACTAATGCGATGATGCGTGAGTACTTCGTGCAAATTGCCGCGGAGAGGCGTGAACAATTGGAACGCGAATGAGAGGAGGAAAGAAGAAGGGCTGAAGAAGAAGCACGTCGATTGAAAGAAGCTAAGAGAGCGCAGAGGGAGGAGCAGAGGCTGAGGCATGAGGAGGAGCGGAACGTTAGACTGATGCGGATTTTGCGAAATGAATTCCGGAAAGACAAGGAGAGTGAAACAAAGAGAAACGACTACAAAGGCAATAAGCCTGTTAAATCAAATAGTCGGGCGGATGCTCTGAACGAAGAAAAGGAACGTCTTCGTAGGAACATTGCGTAGCGAACAATTGGTTTGGAAGAGATGGAGGACGAGGAGTTGTTGGCGTTACGAAGATATACGGCGAAATTGGACCTGTTGGAGAAAAGGAAGCGGGGTCCGGATCTGCCTGTAGGGAATAGCCCGCCGTTGGTTACCCCAGAGAACAAGCTGAGTTCGAGACTTTTGGAAGAGGCGAAGGGGAGAATTGAGATGTTGAAGGGTGATCAAGCAAAGGAGGTTGGGACGATCAGTACCCCATCCAAGATCGACCTGTCCCTCAAACACATCATGGCGTCATGCGGTCTGGGAGGAAAAGAGAAGTTCGAGCAGGAGTGTCATGATTTTTATGACGCATTGACCATTGACGAATTGAAAGAGGCTTATCGTCGCGAGAAGGTGGCATACGAAAATCGAGAGTTGGCTATTAAGAGATTGATCACTCGAAGATCGGCTGTGGCATACGATCCTTCTGCTATTCCTCTGCCAGTTACTCCGCACGTGATGACGCGTTCGGGGAAAGGCGTGGTTATTAAGGAGGAGACGAAGCCGGTGATCTCCGATAGCGACGATTCCTTTTCCGACGAGGAATCCGAGTGAGGGCCTTGTCGTTGCGACAACTTCCTTACTAGAGCGGAACTCTTGAGTGAGTGAAGATTGTTGAACCAAGGTAAGTGTAAAGATGAGGAGCGAGAATTTAGAGCTGCTACTATTGGTTTGATCTTGTGTGGTGCAGTAAAGTGGGGGAAGAAGTTTGTTAACTATTGGAGGGATGAAGTGGATAGGGAGACTTTCGATCTCTCGGCCCCTAGGAGTTGTGTCTATGTTCTGATCTCCCCTTGGTTCAAACAAGTTTATATTGGGATGACCGAGCGGGGTCTGTGGGCTAGATGGCGTGAACATTTATGTTTGGTACATAGATCTGGAAAGCGTGGGAGGACGCTGTACAATTGGTTAGGGAAAGTTGGGGCACATAAGTATGTTGCTCTTCCGTTATTTACGAGCACGGATCGATTTGAACTCGAGGCAGTGGAAGCAGCCTTGATTAAGCATTGGTCGCCTTCTTTGAATATTCGCTTGTCGACGACTCGGAAGGGTAATAAGAAGTCGAAACGAAGACCGGGGAAGAGGGAGAGGAGGAAGTGGTCGGCCACGTGTGCGGGCAGGACGTGTGAGTTTAAGACAGACACCGGGAAATTGTTGGCGCTAAAAAAAGAAGGAACAAATTGTAGTACTGTTAAAGTTTTGGATGTGTTGCGTAGTTTGAAACGAAGGAAATGGGACGTGAAGGTTTGGTGCAACGGAGGGTCAACATGGGCTGATGGTTGGAGGCTTGTGCGAAGATTGTTTGGAGAGACCCGAGTAATAGCAGGACGGGGAACGAAACCACTCCGGAAGTGTAAGAAGCTATTCGAACGGGAAGGCTACGTTCGTTTACGGAAAGTAACGGAAGCCTCACCTGCTTTACTTGCTTTAAAAGATGATCTGGTTCGGATGTTTAAGAACGAACGAAAGCAGAGGGAACTCCATGGGAAATCTCTAACAGGATTGGTTAAGTACTACAGTGCTGTTAAGGCTTTTACGGATAAGAAGTGTCGATCTAAGGCACGTTGTATGATCTTCAGAGTTGTACGGGATAAGTTTGGTTTGAATGTTAGGACTAGGATAATTGTGAAGACACAGTATGACGAGAGGATTAGCAAGAGTGAAGTGATGAGGGTCGTGAGGCGGAAGGTAAGTGGTTTGAAGTGAGTGGCTCCTTTGAAGAAAATGATAAAGCGTCGTGCATGGGTTGTATGGAAGAGAGGCCCGAACGTGGGCGAGATTCTCCATAACCATCATCGTTTTGCGTCGAAACGTGCATCCAACTGTGTTTGTGCTGGTTTGCCCTTTCCAAGGAAGGAAGGGCACGTGCATTTCCGGATTGGTGAGTTGGAGGGGGTCCCTTTTATCTATAGGAATGCAAAGAACGTTCCGAGATATGACGTTGAGCATCGGGATGTTTTGTTGGGACGGGAATTGAACGAAGCATTTCGTATTTGGGGTGGGAGTATGAAGTTCTCTGAATCTGAGATTGTGTTCACAAGCGAAGAAGTGCAATGTTGTCTTGTTAAAACGGTGACGGAGTGTCGGACCAATGGGATGGAAGAAGTGTTATCTGTAAAGGAGAAACTGAAGGGATTGGTCTTGGCGCCCCTGGACCGAAATCCGGGCGACACGTTAGTGCTTTGTCCGTTGTTGTATGACCAAGGAATGGAGAAGACTTTTCTCTGGAGTGATGGTTATCGTGTTTGCATGAAGGAAGAGGTGGGACTGTTGAATTTGGCAAGATTCAAATATGAGAAGAGGCAGCTACATGTACATGGGAAGTGGAATGTGAATGGGAAGATAGGGAAAGTATATGCTCTGCCGAAGCATAAAGATACGGATAAGTCCCGCCCTATTTTTCCTACATTTGAAGAACCTTCGGTGAAGGCGTGCAAGCTAGTCGCCAAAGGTATCAATGGGCTATTGTTTGCACTACCGGAGTCGGGGCACTTCAACCTGCGATCGGTGGCTGATATGAACAACCGTTTGAAGGGGATAGACAACAGATTGGGAAAGAGTAGAAAGAATGCGGAGATCGTGGGTGTGTCTTTTGATATTAAAGACATGTTTAGTCGCCTTCCTCATGCGACGATCAAATCGGCAATTGAATGGGTGGTTTGGTGGTTTTCTCAGAAAGGATATAGTGGTATTTTTGTACATAAGAGAGGTAAGGGCGCACGACTGAGCAAGAATGAATGCTTGGATGGGTTTGTCTTTTTCTCTTTCAGTTACATGGTATCATTCGTTTCCTTCGAGCTGGATTTTTGCTTTACAAGAGATTGTGGGATTCTTTTGCAGCAGATCATAGGGATCCCAATGGGGAAAAGTTTGAGCCCCCCGTTCACATGCCTGATCTGCGCAAAGAGTGAATGGGATTTTCTCATGACGATCGGTAGTCAGAAGCGTGCCTTCGGGGGTATGAGGTTTGTCGACGACGTTTCTGTGTTTGCCGTCTACAATCCAGCAAAAACTGGTGACAAGGAAAGGCTATACAGACGTTGACTCTCTTTGAGAAGTGATATGATTCGGCTCTTACCCTCAAAGGGACTGATGAGGAGGAGAGAAGTTGGATTTTCTTGGGTTGTAGACTGACAATTGCGAAGAAACCGCCTACCATACAAATTCTGAAAAACGATGCAAAACTGAGGGAAGGAGGGGATTTGCCTTTTCGCACTTTCCAGGACTTCGGATCGTGGTCGAGCAAGAAGGCAAAATTGGCAGCTATCATTAGTGCCTTGCACCGCATTGATCAGAATTCGTGTATGGGTATGGAGCTTCTTGATACCGTGCTTATGTTGAAACTTGAACTAAGAAGATGTGGCTACCCGAGTCGTTGGTTCAGCAAGGCGCTGAGAAACTTCAGCCGAGACAAGAGCCCGACCTGGAGAATGATTGCGTTACTCCTTGGTGGAAAATAGGTTGGCTAGGGTAGTGGCTTGACTTAGCATTGTTGTTTCTGTGTAGTACTGAATCGGTGGCCAGTTTGGCTTGCTTGTCTTTTAGCCTCGTGTGCTTGTGTATTAGAGGTTTGGTTGCTTCTCTTTGTTCCATTTGCATTGCATGCTGGCTCGAATGCTGGACCGTTGGTTTATTGGGACCAGGGTTCACCTTTTGCTTTGTATGCGGTTACGTATCAGTAGTAGGAATTACCGTGTCCACGGAGTAATCGAGCATAAGTTCAGGGTCTTATCATTGAGGGGCTCGAACCTCGGATCTACGGGAGGATAGTTGGTTTGGTTTTGTTTTTTTTGGCGAGTACCGGTACCATCCGTGGACATGTGCCATGATTGGTACCCTGCATGTTTCCCGGATGCCTGGTGGCACCGACCCTTATCTTTTGGATTTTGAATCGTACCGGGACGTGAACGTAGGGCGGGTTCGGCCCAGTAGTGTAGTGACAAGTAGGGAATTGTGATCGATGGTCAACATAAATGGTGAGAAGCGGAGTTACGAAGTCCCTTTCGCCTTGTGGCGTTCGACACAACCGAGGGTGAGGGAGGTAGCGATAGAGGGTGACGAGGGATGGTAGTGTGGGGGGTTGTGCCGTCAACACTCATCTACATCGTGAGCTGCACACACGACCATTACATGGGTCTTTATTTCACATCGTGAGCTGCACACATGACCATTACATGGGTCTTTATTTCGAATCGGATGTTGATTGTTGATTCATACAGCGTTTGGCTCATCCAAGTGTGTTGTCAACTGCGTGTGAGTCTGGTCCTTGTGCCTGCATCTGCAGTTATTTGCTATCCTCCATCCTCTACTGAAACTATGACAAAGAGGAAATGAAAAAAAAAATAAAAAAAATAAAAATAAAAATAAAAATAAAAAAAGCAAGTGTCGAGGCCATGACAACAAGAAGAGGAGATGGAGGAGGAAGAGGAGGACAAGGAGGTCAGGAGGAGAAGGGATGGCGGAGGGGGAGGAGGAGGAGGAGGACAACAACGCGATGAGGAGGAGATACCATGCCAGTTCGAGACTTCAAAGTTCCCGTGACCATAAAGGTTGACGAAGCCGTGAAAAACAGGCTGAGAGGTGGAGGAGGAGAGATGGAGTATGGAGGATGGGAGATGGAGGAAGGGTGGAGGAAGAAAGATGGACGAAGAGGGATGAAAAAGAGACGGAGGAGGAGGAGGTAGGGAGGAGGAGAGATGGACAATGACGACAAGCAAAGGAGGAGGACGATGAGATAAGGAGGAGATACCACGAAAGTTCGAACTTCGAAGTTGAAACTTACCATTAAAAAAAAGTAGAAAAAAAGTGACGAGGCTGTGACATGTGGCAGTCGGCATCACACCTTGCAGTCCGCATATGGAAGACGACGACATTCCAACCGTTATTCAAAGTTTAGTAGTTTACTAAGTTTACGTAAGAAACGTTGACGAGACCTTGACGAGGAGGGAAACGTGGAGGAGGAGAGATGAACGAGGAGTGGAGGAGGAGTGGAGGAAGAGGAGGAGGAAGATGTGGAGAAGGAGAAAGATGTGGAGGAGGAGGAAGATGTGGAGGAGGAGGAGGAGGAGGAGGACAAGGAGGTCAAGAGGAGAAGGGATGGTGGAGGGGGAGGAGGAGGAGGAGGACAACGACGCGATGAGGAGGAGATACCATGCCAGTTCGGGACTTCAAAGTTCCCGTGACCGTAAAGGTTGACGAAGCCTTGAAAACGAGGCTGAGAGGTGGAGGAGGAGAGATGGAGAATGGAGGACGGGAGATGGACGAAGAGGTGGAGGAAGAAAGATGACGGACAAAAGATGGACGACGAGGGATGAAAAAGAAACGGAGGAGGAGGAGGTAGGGAGGAGGAGAGATGGACAACGACGAGGAGCAAAGGAGGAGGACGATGAGATAAGGAGGAGATACCACGAAAGTTCGAACTTCGAAGTTGAAAGTTGCCATTAAAAAAAAAAAAAAAAAAAGTGACGAGGCTGTGACACGTGGCAGTCGGCATCACACCTTGTAGTCCGCATATGGAAGAAGACGACATTCCAACGGTTATTCAAAGTTTAGTAGTTTACTAAGTTACTAAGTTTACGTAAGAAACGTTGACGAGACCTTGACGA